TCCAAATTATCCTAAACCAAACCGGAGCGGTTACAATTTCTTCTTTGCAGAGACACATTGCAAGCTCAAGTCTCTTTATCCCAACAAGGAAAGAGAGTTCACTAAAATTATTGGTGAATCTTGGAGCAATCTCTCAACCGAAGAACGAACGGTAACGAATTATTTGATAAACCGGGTCCGGTTTAGGTTGTTTGAGATGAATTTAAACCGATAATTTTCGGTTATTGTTATTTTTTTTTGGTAGGTTTATCAGAACATTGGATTGAAGGACAAGGAGAGGTATCAGAGGGAATTGAATGAGTACAGAGAAAGGTTGATGCTCAGGGATGCTGGTGAGACAAACGGCAGGGTTTTTTAGATGGTTTGCTTAAAACGGCAAATGTTCTTGTGTTGTTTATCGTTTTCTCTCTTTTAGGATCGGACTTCTAGCCGTTTTTTGTTTTTGTTATTCTAACTTTTCGTTATGGTAATTGTTCTTGCCAAACTAGGCCCATCATGGTTTCATTTTGTAAGCTAGATCGACTTAGCAGATTAGTCGTCCGTTGACGGTTCCTTTCCGAAACTTGAAAAGTCTTTTGGATAATTCTGAATTTTCAAAGTCTCCTATAAGCTTATCTAGTTATGCAATGTTTTAGACGAAACTATAGAAGAAATGCCACGTCATGTCAGAAAACATCTGAAACAGCCAATCACAACAATTCCATGCAGATAACTCTCTCGCATTCTCTCGCCACATAAACCTCACAAAACCCCCTTTTGAAAAGAAAGACAAAAAATTTCCAAACTTTCTCTCCATATCTTATCATAATATCAAGATTTCAAGTTATTTCAAGAGATCATTAAAATGGCCTTAGTACCATCAACCACCGTCACAATCCCATCTTTCACCGGTCTCAAACTCGCCGTCATCTCAAAACCCACGACGGTATCCACCGTCATCAGATCCTCCTCCTCCGCTAAGAAGCTCGCCGTGAAGTCCTCTCTTAAAGATTTCGGCGTCATGGCCGTAGCAACAGCAGCTTCGATAGCTTTGGTCGGAAATGCGATGGCTATAGAAATTCTTCTAGGATCAGACGACGGTGGTCTTGTGTTCGTACCAAGTGAATTTACGGTGGCTAAAGGAGAGAAGATCGTGTTCAAGAACAACGCAGGGTTCCCACACAACGTTGTGTTCGAGGGAGACGAGATCCCTAGTGGTGTGGACGTGAGCAAGATCTCGATGGACGAGCAAGAGCTTCTCAATGGTCCAGGAGAAAAGTACGAGGTTACTTTGACAGTTCCTGGTTCTTACAGTTTCTATTGTGCGCCGCATCAAGGTGCTGGTATGGTCGGGAAACTCACCGTCAACTAAATTGTCCGGAGAGAATAACAAATTGTTGGAATATCGATCCAAATCTATATATAGAAGTTGTAATGTAGAAGAGAGTGTTGGATTAAAATTTTTAAAACAGGGTTAAATAATGTTGTTTTCGTAAAGTTACTGGTTTAGTAGTTTGCTTCATTGATTCTTATTTTAACTCAATATAGATGATCTTTCTCTTTATTTTGACAACCTTTAGATTAGGAAAATTAGCATGTATAGTACAAAAAAAAATTATAATTCATTCAATAGCCAAATTTATTATGCACTAATGTAAAATGTATTATAAACCATTTTGCCTTTATGATAATGTGTTCTATTCTATTTACTTCTACATAGAACAGTACATAATAAATTCTATAATTTTTTATTATTTTTAAGGATTTATAATTTTTGGGTTTGGTTTAACTATTTTAATTTTAGGGTTTAATTTTAAGGTTTAGTATACATCAAACCCTCA